TTGCACTCAACCTTGGATCTGTTCTACAAATTACATAATTTTATATAATTGGTAGCAATCCAATCAAATTAATCACAATTTATTAATATTAAAAGCATAAATAACAGTGTAAAACACATTTATCAAACATTCCCAAATTTAAACTCCTGTTCGTTCCGAGCAAGATTATGAACCCAACACACATACAAACAAAAATTAACAAGTTAAATAGGTTGTCATACCTCAGGATTTAAAACATTCTAAGTAATTTACAAAAAGCTTCTAAGTTTTGTTACCAAAACATAGTTTAACTTGTCCAATGCTCAATCGATGTGTGTGTGTGTGTGCGCACATATAATCAATTCAATCACATACTTCTTCAAGTTGGTCCAATCTCGACCCTCAACAGTCAATTATTTCTTTCTTCTCTCGTGAGTTGCATAGCCCCAAACTTTTTTTTCAATCACTCACCCGGGGTAATCATTTTAAGGTTTGTTTCACAATACTCTCAGCTTTCCCGCTTGAGTTTGGTTGAGACTTCACCAATGAAAATCTCTACATCAATAAGTGAAGCTACGTTAGATTAAATATTGATAGTAAATATTAGTCTATGTGGGAACTAAAAAATTCCACTGTATTAGTTGCAGGATCCATACACTTGCATAATCAATCGAATAAGTTTTTGGCGCCATTTTCGATGACTAATTTATTTACTTTTGTTTTTGTTGTTAATTCTTGCTTTGATTTAATTTTTTTTTTTTTTAAGTTGATGTACTTGTTTTTCTTGGTTTCATTGAAAAAGAACTAAACAAAGCAATAGCTCAACAACATGAGATGCGAGATTCCGAAATTGATGAAGATGACATACATATAGTGGATTTCTCCATCCTAGCATGCTCTAAAATGAAGGAATATGATGCACTTGCCGACATTGACGAGGATGATATGTCTTTGGGAATACTTAGAGGACTAGTAGGTTTCTAAGTATAAGGCGTAAATGAAATTAATGAGGATTATTTTCCATTAGAATTACTATTGACATTATCGAAATACCGAGTACAGTATAATCCATATGAGCAAACATACAATTCAAGTTGCGAGCAACAACCAATTCTCTATTGGTCATGATGTCAAAATAACGAAAATCCCACAAATCCACAACAAGGAAGGGAAAGAAAATTTCCTTGTGCAATTGCCTGAAATTTTGGATAATTGACCGATTATCGAGCTTGAGAAACCAACAACATAAAAAAATGAGCATGAGAGACCAAGGAATTAGTCATAACAGGTCAACCGAATTAATAGCATTGAAGAAGAATGAATTAGCATGCAACCATCCAAATTCATTGTTTGTTCAAAAATTGAGTTAGTGATTAAACCTGGTGAGATAATTAAAATATATATTCTTAAGTTCAAATTGAGGGATGAAGACAAGTCGTACTACATTCAGAAAGGCAACATTAAAATTTGGAAAAAAAAAAAAAAAGTTGCAATATGGATCAAAATCAACTTAAAGAAGCAAAGCATGACCTCCAAAATTATGTTCAAAGAGTCCTGAAGCACTTGTGCAAAAGTCGAACTTTAGACTATAAATGAGAAATTAATGAGAAGTAACCAATTTTCCTAACTTTTAACTTTTTTATTTATTTATTGCTTGCATATAAATAATATGATTACATTTAGCATTTAGGCATGTTTAATTATTGTTTCGCTAAAAAATAATGTTTTATTTTTTTTATGATTTTTAGGATCATCATCCTAGCCTCACAGCAAAAAAAAGTTTACGCTTGACCGCGATCAACCGCAGTTTGCAAATCGCGTTGATCCGCGGTCACTCCAAATGTTCTTTTTGCCAAGGTCAATTAAAAAAAAAATTAGAAAAAACTGAAAAACTATAAAATTTTAAAAAAAATTAAAAAATGTTTTGTTATTTTTAAATTTTTAATAAGTTTTATAAACTTTCCCATTTTCAATTTTTTTTTAATCCAAATTCACACAATCACCAACTTATTTCATCATCAATATATTCAAGATTTTAAAATCATGAAGAGTTCAAATTTTATTAAAAAAATATTATTTATAATCATGAGATTTTTTTTCTTTGAACTCTTCCATATATATATATATATATATATACATTTTTTTTTTAGTTTTTTATATTGAATTGAGATAGATGGGATAAGTAGTTGCTATGTTCGAATTGTGCTTTATTTGGATCTTTATTATAATTTCTTATTAATCATTGCTTATGTTGCTTAAAATTTTATTGAAGAAAAAATTGGTATTAATAAAAACATACCGTTTGAAGGAAGAAACATGATTCTATGAGTTTCAAGGTCAATTTCATCATCCAATAGTTATCCTAAGAGTCTAAAATTCCTCTCTTTTACTTAGTTTCTATGTTTTGGGCTTTATATTGCTACATTGAGGACAATGTAGGAATTAAGTTTAAGGTGAAAAGTCTAAATTTTCTTTTAATTTAATACTCATGAATGATTTTTGCGTAACTAATTTAGGTTCAATTTTGAGTCTAAAAATAAGCTTGATGCAAATAAATTGAAAAAAAAAATTTAAATAATTTACAGTTTTATCTTGTATGCTTGTGTGTGGAACTCATTTAGAGGAAGTTTGGGGGTGATTAGATCCATCACAAACCTAGATCATTATCACTTTACTATTTTTTGGTTCTTATCGTTGGTCGAAAAAAAGTGAAAGACATTGCACTAGCCATAACACAGTAAGAAAAACTTGCATACATTGTATTATGAAGCTAGTTTTGAGTAATTTGACCCTATTCATCACCAATGTTTAGGAGATATTCTATCACGGAAGAAGACTTCCTATAATATAGAGTAAAAACTATCTTCGAAAATAAGAAATATCTCAAAAATAGAAGAAGGGACCAAAAATGAAAAAAAAGCTAAAACAATTGATACACACAAAAGTGCGTTGAGACAATAGCAAATCAATTTAAGTGCTGCCTCTATCCGCTAAGTCTTGGTCATAGATTGGAATTTGGAGAATGGTTGAGTTGATGATGAAAATAAGACCAACATCACTTGTTTAGTTCACCTTTGAATTGAAAAACTAAGAGAGCAATATGAGTGATGAGAGATTATATTGACATACATGGGAATAGGTTTTTATTTTTTTTTTGGGAAAAAAAATTTTGGAAGTTGAAATACATGATTTGATTCAAGTAGTATCGGTGAAATTGAGAATGTTTACTACACACAGTAGAAAGCTAAATATATAATATGTGGATTTTTTTTAAAATAATTGCTAATTCTTGTGTTTCATTAACTTGTTTAAATTTTGTGATTGGGATATCCATTTTGAGGAAACATTGAATTACTTATATCAAGTTGAGTATATTTGTCTATAGTCTAGTTAAGTTTCCATTGTACTTTATTCTAGGACGAACAAAACTTTAAATTTGGGGTGTTTGATAAATATAAATATTACACTTAACTTCACCATCAAAAATGACTTCTAGGAGTAATTTTATAAACTAAATACTTAACTTTTTGTGTGTTTTTTTTTTTTTTTTTTTTTTAGAAGAAAATTTGGTATTGGACAAGAACGGACTAAAATTAAAAAATAATTGAGAAAAAAAGGATCAAAATTGGACATTTTTGGACGTTGGGGACCAATGAATCACGTTTGGAAGTTGAAATACCCCAATTGCAATATTTAAAGCAAAAAGAGAAAACATAGACCAAATTAAATAAGGAAATATTAAATTTCAGCAATTTGATACATCATAATTTGACTAAGATTATGGTTTTCAATCCTTCTGGGACTCTACTCTACTTTAGACCTAATTTAGGTCTATAAATAGGAATCTTTCATACCAACAAGAATGTGATGTGAGATATACAATCTTGAGGCATAATTACACATTCAAATAATAGAATCCTCAAGATTTGTGCTCAATTTGGGATTTGATGGTTGAAGAAAACAAATTGGTTTGGAGAGGAGATTGAAGATCCATTGTTGGGAATTAGTTGTCCAAGAACAATAGCTGCTTGGACTAGGGGTGAACACAATTCGATTTGGGCAGTTTGTGCCATATTTTCAACTCAAACGATTTCGTGCGATTTGAAATTTTTTCAAACCAAACCATAAATTGTGGGTTGATTCAATTTTAATTCGCGATTTACCTATCAACATTATAATAATATATTTAAAATAAGTTAACATATAAATTTAAACGATAACTAATAATATTAAATGTTAAATTACATTCATATTTCCCACCCGTGAATAAATTATTTTCAAAGTTGGTTGTTAAAAAATGTTAATAGAACGAATATATTTTTCTTCCTTTTTATTTACATATTCTTGTTTGTTTTTCATATTGTTATGTAACAGTTGGTAAAGATAGAGTCACATTCCGCTGTATTAGTTTGGTTAAAATTTCTTTTATCCTACTAGTGAGATGAAAAATAAGGACTGAACATGATATTTTTAAATGTATAAAAAATAATAGAGTTCAAGTTTATTGGAAATTGACAAATTTTACTTTCTAACGACTTTGAGAAAGTAGAATGTAGTTGTACTCACTACACCAAAAAAGACCATTTGTAGCGGCAAAAAAAACACTGCGGTTGACCTTTTGCAGCGTTTTAGCATATGTTACGAAAGTCGGTGTTGCCATTGATGGAAGACTTTTTGCAGCGTTTATTCACCGTTGTGAAAAACCATTTTGCAGCGTTTTTTAAACGTTGCGGTAGACCTTTTTGCAACGTTTATTCACCGTTACGGTAGACCCTTTTACAACGTATTTTAAACGTTGCAGTAGACTCTTTTGTAACTTTTTTCAACGTTGTGGTACTCTTTTTTTTAGGTTATATATGGTAATTGATCGACAAAATTAAAAATGACACTTTGTAAACAAATTTTGGAATTGCATAAAAATTGATAATTTCATTACAAATTATTGAATCAATACAATATTAGAATGTGATACAATACAACATTGAATCAATACAATATTTGGATTTCCTAAGCATCTAAGCTTAAGTAAACTTATCTAGTCTCCAAGATTTGTTAGAACCTGGAGGCCTAAAGTTTTCTAGCAGCAAATTAGAGCTTGAAAGGATCCGAGTCAATACGGAATCACCCATTTCTGATTTAATCGTCTCCAAGATGCTCCCAAGGACTTCAGCTGCAAGACCCATTTCGACCAGACATCCTTTCTCTTCCCCGCCTTCATAAATCAACCGCCCAACTTCAGAAAATGAAATGACGTTCTCCATTATGATTATTGCAAAGATGCGGCCGAGAAACTCTGCTGCTCTAGGGGCATCATTTACAGCATCATCCAATGTAGTGAGAACATATTTAAACCTGCCCAAGTAAGAAGCGAACCAAAAGAAAAAGTGATGGAGAATAACATACAAGTGCAAACTAAGTTTCCATCTCATAACAATAAGAGAAGGCATAACCTTTGATAAGCTGATCTTGACTTATCATTCCATCTCGAGCTTTCATAAGACCAATCAGGAGCTTTGTCAACAGATCTCTCTCTCTCTCTCTCTGTCATTCCTCTCAAAAGAATCGGCAACCCAGAGAGAAATCATAGATGGATAGAAGCTGGGAGTATTTAATTCCTTGATGCACAAAGCAACTTCATTCTCATCTCTTGCGCTAAAAAGACAAACATTGACAATTTTCGTCTTCATAAAAATATGCAGAAACAAGGTTCTAGTGCTGTCCAAATTTAATGAGCAAGAGAATGAAATTTGTGACAGAAAAAGGCTCAGAAGTGAATATTTGCTACTAAAACCATTGAACACGTTCGATTAATTCTGAAA